TGTGGCCCTGTGATGGACTTGCGACCCGTCCAGGGTGTACCCCGCCCCTCGCACAGTGATTGCTGGACATGGGCACCAGCGACCCCCGTGACCCAAAATGGAATAAACGGGTAAAGATAATGGATGGATGGATGTTTTCCAGTCTCCAGTCTTCAGTTTTTTCATTGTGTCATCCTCTGTCATTTTCTGTTTTGTGTCCTCAAGGTTCATGGCTTGCACCTCATGCATCATCACTGTCAGCACTCTGTCCACATACGTTTCCATGTACTCATTGTTCTCTGTCTCTGGTAAAGGAAGTTGTGAAAGTGAATCCTTTACATTGGACTTTCCGACTATGTGTTCTATTTTATAATCATATGGTTGTAGTTTCAAGCCGAGTCTCCATTCGTGGTGGTGACAGCGTAGCCTTCTCTGGGTTGAACATGTAGATGAGGGGTTTATGGTCAGTTTGCAGAGTAAACTTGGCCTCCCACAAGTATGTTCTAAAATGTTCCACAGCCCATACACATCCTAAAGCCTCACATTCTATCTGAGAATAACGACGTTTTGTTGGGGTTAATGAACAGCTTGCATAGGCTACTGGTTTATTCTGTCCATCTGATTGGGTCTGTAGTAAATTGCACCTAATCCAATTGGACTTGCATCAGTAATAACTACTGTGGGTGCATCCAATTTAAAGTAGGCCAGGCATGGCTTGCTCACCAATGCTTCTTTCCTTGCTTGGAATGATTTTTCTGTTTCACTTGTCCACTCCCATGCTTGTCCTTTCCTAGTCAGCTTCCTTAGTGGTTCTGATAAGCTTGCATAGTTTGGTATGAATTTCATCAGAAATTCACAAGTACCTAGGAACGAGTTGAACGTTTTCAGGTCTGGGTGCTTTGTAGATGGCTTCAACCTTTCTCGGGTCTGGTTTAATTCCTACGTTGGTGTTCACGTGTCCGAGTACCTCAGTCTATTGTAACACAAAAATGCACTTCTCTCTGTTGAGGGATAAGGGACTCTCCTTAAACCCTGTGCTACAGGCGGGACTTTTCATCAACTGTAACCTTGTGGCTGTAACCTTTAATCTGTCCAAGTCCTTTAAAAACTATTGGGTACTCTTTAACAAGCTTGTCAAACCTGTCTATTTGCTCTACTGTGTTCACTTTTTCTCCTGTATTGAGTATATTTAATGCAAAGCTTGTTTTTCTGCCTAGCAGTGCTTCTACATTTCCTTCTATCACATATTTGTTATCTTTAACAACGTTGTCTTTCCACCTCATTTCTGCCTCAAAATGACCCAAACATTTAAGTGGAGTAGTTTATGCATAGGCATAAAACTCCTTCTTGGTTGATTTTAGTTTAATTTTAGCAGACATTGTTCTTTTACATAAATCCTCTCCTATGAAGTTTCTTCCACTTCCTGTATCTATGACCATTTTCAACCATTGTCCATTTACTTTGATTGTTCCAGTACCTTAAGGGTCCACAGCATGGATAAACTCATCTGAATCAGAATCAGAAGTATCCTGTACTACTGCTCTCACTGGTTTACCTGCTTTCATCTTTTTCTTTTTTTTTTCCTGTAAATGTATCACTGTTCTTTTCTGTTTGTACTTTATCTTCTTGAAACACATGCTTGCATAATGCTCTGTTTTCTGACAAAAGAGGCACGTTGCCGTTTTGGCTCCACATTGATCTGCAGTGTGAGTGTCCGTTCCACATCTATAACACTGGGTGTTGCTGTTGGCTTGCTCTTGGCTGCATCTCCGTTCATTCGTTGTTCCTGTTTTATGGTCTCAAGCTGCGCACATGCCTTTCTTTATGAAATTAACCTGTTTGTCCTTTACTCTGTGTCCGGCACCCTCCGTGAAAAATTTGGCTTCTGCATGCGCTGCTTCAAAAGCTCTTGCTGTTGACCTGAACTTAGCCCATCCTCCTGCAACAGTTTATCGCGCAGCTTTTTCATGACACATTTCTCCACTATCTGATCTCGTATCATGTCGTTCTCCAGCGTGCCAAAGTCACATGATTTTGCCAGTTCTCTTAATGCATTAACAAAAGCGTCCACTGACTCTTCAGGGCACTGAGCCCTCTGTCTGAACTTGTGTCTCTCTAGGACTATGATTCTCCGCAGTGTAAAATATAGCACGGCAACAGCCTGAGCATATGTATCTTTTTCTCCCAGTAAACTGGTAAAAATCCTCTGTAGGCGCTCCTATACAATGCAGCAGAGTGGCTCTCCTCACCAAATTCGGTGCATAAATAGTCCCACATGCAACTTCAAAGAAGCTGTAAGAGTCCTTCCACAGTTTATACTCCGTGAATAAATATGACGCTCCAAGGTTCAGTGGAACCAGCGGGACAAGCTGAGTGTAACTGGGTGTAGGTGCAGCTCCGGCAGCAGCTTGTTGCTGATCATTATCCGACATGGCTCTGTCTCAGTTGTCCTACTTTGCCTCTGGGTTCTTGACAAACATTCTCCTCGTTGCCAAATGTTGTGTTGTTTAAATATACAGTCATTTACTTTGTTTTATGCTTATTTATTAACACATGTTCCAATATTGTTCTAGCCACCATGTATGTCTTCTCTCGTCTATCTCTGGTCCGACTAATCTCGCGATAACACAGTAACATTAACTACACTACACGTAGGAAGGCAGACAAATCCAAGAGGGTTCAAGCAAGGTGAAGAGTAAAAAAACAGGCAAGAAGTCATGGTAAGGCATGAGACAAGATCAGGTACGCTGGATTTCTACTTCTGTGATAGGTTCGAGAATTTGGCACTGACTGAGTGAATGCAGGGAGCTAAGGTAGGGCGAAGAACAGGTGATGCAAGCATGAGCTTGATTGCTGGGTGAGAGCGGTGTTGCCAGATTGAGTGGTTTACTGACACTTGGGCGGTTTTCATTCTGATTTTGTTGGAAACACTGGGAAGATTTTGTTGGATTATTGCATTTTGCCACATATTGTTAAATTACCTTAGCTTGTACAGATGTGCATTCATATTCGAACAATAAATATACTGTAACAATATATTGATTGGGCAGATTTTTGTGTGATGTGGCAGTTTTTAACAGATTTTTGGGCTGGAAAACCTCCACTCTATCTGGCAACACTGGGTGAGAGTGAGTGACAGGAACAAGCAGAGCTTGGCAGGAAAAACATAAACATGACGGGCTGTGAGGGGCAAAAACTTCACAAAAATCTATCCCTTTGTCACTTTAGATGTTTTTTTATGACAGTTGTCTTTATTTTTCTTTGTGTTTTATGGTGATTGCCTAGATGATTTCCTGTGTTTTAATATTTTATTAAATTTTTGTTTAACAGCTAAAGGCTCCAGTATACTCACGTGGACCTTTATCCGCGTGGACTCGCCATGCACTGTCTGCAGAGGGTTGAGACTTCATACTTGAGTGTCCTCCCTGAGTGCCTGCGGAGCAGCTCCGCAGGCAAGCGGCGTTTACCTTCGGGACAAATTGAGGTCGCTGATTGGTCATTTGCTGACATGCCTACTTGAGTGATTGACAGGTCGCAAAAAAAAAAAACGAGAGCTGGCAGCAAGCCGCAGCGGTGTTCTGTGTTTATATGTTGTTAATAAAAAGCTATAAAAATACAAAAACAGGGAGCGCTGGCCCTGCAGCCCACACATCAGATTAGCCCACCAGGAAATCTCCAGACCCTCCTGCAGCCACGCTGGACCTGATTTTATTTGCTCGTGACAAATTCCTTCATTTCTCACCATTTCATTCATGGCGTCAACGGAGGAGGAGGAAGAGATCGCTTGCCTCTTGGAAAAAAACAAACAAAAGAAAAGGCCATTAAACCCGATCAGGGATGAAGAAGGGGAATTTAATATATTGGTGTTGCATACAAAACAGTCCGTCGCCGGGCAGTTTATTGTGCGACACCGAGTACGTGTACGCGGTCGTAAAACTTGAACTTTGCACAGATATGCCCTGTGGGCGTCCACTTCAAGTCTAATCCAGTACGCACAGACTGACGTACGCCCGAGTATACTGGAGCCTTAAGGTTGTCATAATCTTCCCCTACCCTGAGCTAAATACATGATTCTCAGCTACAACTTGAACAGCCAGCAAATAGATGATTATGAGAGCTTCAAAGGCATCCTTTTGTTTAACAAAGTTGATCTTTATTAAGTGATCAACATCACCAACATCAAGGGGTAGAGATAGGGCAGCCAACTTGGGACCAGAAAGTCCCAGGTTTGATCCCCAGCCATTCCCGCATGCCGTGGTGTCTCTGAGCAAGACAACTAATCCCTCATTGCTCCCCAGGCACTTACATAGCTGCCCATTGCTCCACCTGGTGTATCTCACGTGTGATGGGTAAATGCAGTGAACTAATTTTGACATTGTATGGGAACATACAGTGATGACAATCTCAGACTTCCCTTCCCTAGATTAGCCAGGTGTCCTTCTAGCATACTCCTACCTTGTGGGGAAATCTAAATAAAACGCCCTCTGGCTACAACTGAAATCTCATTGATAAATCAAACTGTTTCAATCAAAAAGAGCTCACTGTCAGCTTTCACTCTACTTTTTACAAGTGAAGACATCTGGAAGTAAAAGCCATTTTGTGTTTTTCTCATGCAGAGTGATTGGTCTTTTTTCTCATGGATTCCTTTCCGGCTACGCAGTGTGGAATATTACTGTTGTGTATGTGTTGGCGGGTGAAGAGATGACGACGCTGCCCAACCTGCTGCAGCAGTACCATCCCCTGGCCTACCCAGCTCAGTCTCTGCTCTACCTGCTGCTGGCCATCAGCACTGTGTCTGCATTCGACAGGTTGGACTATCATGTCTGTGTTATTAATCCTATACTGCACAAATGAAAGTTGAAATAAGTTTTAGATCTAAGAATCATCAAGAAATTTGCAATAAATAAGGTGTTTGGTGTCGCCTGCAGAGTGAACCTGGCTAAGACCTCTATGGCCCTCAGAGGCTTCCTGACTCTGGACCCTGTAGCTGTGGCTTCGTTCTGTGAGTCAAGCAGGATAAAAGCATGAAGGAAATGATGATTATGGAGATGAAGGAAACAGTGATGATGATGAACAGGTTTTACTGTTTGTGCAGTGTATTTTACAGCCCTGATCCTGTCCCTCAGTCAACAGATGACCAGTGATCGCATCAACCTCTATCCCAGTGCCAACCACACTCTCTGGTAAGAGTTTTTTTTTTTTTTTTTTTGGCTTTTATTGTCCCCCATCTCAGAGCGAAAAAAGAAGAATTAGAAATACCCGGCGTCCGTGAATGTTGCAAGCCCAATAACCTAAAACATAAGTCAGGTACTGACTTCCATTTTGATGTGTAGCTGCAGCATCATCGCCACTATGGACTATCACTGGCTCAACCATTGACCACCCCTGGCCCAACCATTGACCACCCCTGGCTCCACCATTGACCACCCCTGGCTAAACCATTAACCACCCCACTGGCTCCACCATTGACTACCCCTGTCTCCACCATTGACCACCCCTGGTCACACCATTGTCCACCCTTGGCTGCACCATTGACCACCCCTGGCTCTACCATTGACTACCTCTGGCTCCACCATTGACCACCCTTGGCTCCACCATTGACCACCCCTAGCTCCACCATTGACCACCCCTGGCTCTACCATTGACCACCCCTGGCTTCACCATTGACCACCCCCTGGCTCTACCATTGACCACCCCTGGCCCAACCATTGACCACCCCTGGCTCCACC